CCCCCAGGATCACCACTCTCTCCAGCCAGGACGGGCTCTCCATGGAGCCCCGGGGGTCAGCGGAGCTGGAGGGGGAAAATTTGGGGTCAGAGAAGCCCAAAAACCCCAAAAAATCCCCCTGGAAAATCCTAAATATGGTAAAGTATCAGAATGTTGGAAAATCCCACAAAAAACCCCCAAAAAATCGCATAAAATTACACAAAATCCACCAAAATTCTTCCCAAAAACACCAACAAAAATAAATTTTTTGGGATTTTTTGGGGATATTTTGAGGATATTTTGAGAATATTTTTAGTATATTTTTAGGATATTTTCAGGATATTTTCAGGATATTTTTAGGATATTTTTGGGATATTTTTAGGATATTTTTGGGATATTTTTAGGATATTTTTAGGATATTTTTTAGGCTATTGTTAGGCTATTTTTGGGATATTTTTAGGATATTTTTAGGATATTTTTGGGATATTTTTAGGATATTTTGGGTTTTTTTGGGATATTTTTAGGATATTTTGGGATATTTTTGGGATATTTTTAGGATATTTTTAGGATATTTTTGTGATATTTTTAGGATATTTTCAGGATATTTTTAGGGTATTTTCACGATATTTTTAGAATATTTTCAGGATATTTTTAGGATATTTTTAGGATATTTTTAGGATATTTTGGGATATTTTTGAGGTTACCTGGCTGTCAGGGTGCCGTTGCAGAAGCGGAACTGGCGGTGCAGGAATCGGTTTTGGGGGGATTTTTGGGATTATTTTTTGGGATTTTTTCGGGATATTTTCCGGATTTTTTTGGGGATGTTTTTGGGATAATTTTGGGATATTTTAGGATATTTTTGGGGTTACCTGGCTGTCAGGGTGCCGTTGGAGAAGCGGAACTGGCGGTGCAGGAATCGGTTTTTGGGGTTATTTTTGGGTTATTTTTTTTGTAATTTTTTTAATAATTTTTGTGATATTTTGGGGATGATTTCAGGATATTTTTAGGATATTTTTTGGGATATTTTTGGGGTTACCTGGCTGTCAGGGTGCCGTTGGAAAAGCGGAATTGCCGGTGCAGGAATCGGTTTTTGGGGGATTTTGGGGTTATTTTTGGGTTATTTTTGGGATATTTTTTTGGGGTTTTTTTTTATATTTTCAGGATATTTTGGGGAATGTTTTTAGGATATTTTAGGATATTTTTGGGGTTACCTGGCTGTCAGGGTGCCGTTGGAGAAGCGGAACTGCCGGTGCAGGAATCGGTTTTTGG